AGGGAGTACTGGCTGGAAGGACAATCTCAGCCTTTTGCTTGGAGAACTTCCTCCTTGTCTCACACCAGGGCTTGGAGCTGCTTCTTGTTGTGACAACGAATCCGGGCATGCTTCTCTTGCTTCCTGTGCAGATGTCTGGCTTGGCCCTCCAGCTGAGTTCTGCATGAAGGAGGTTAGAGAAACAAGCTTTCCTGAGGGCTCATTCCGCCTGGCGCCCGCAAGAGTGCTTGGAGGGACGGAGGCTTCGCCATCTTCACCAGTCAGCAACCTTCGACCAGCCTCATCAGATACAGCAACTCCATCAGTAATTCGGAGCCTCAGGGTTCCGCCGATGTTCCTCATGAGAGGCTCAGCAGGGCTTGGTGGTTCACGGTCGGGTTCCGTGGTATGCCGTGGCCGCAATGCCAGTTGCTTCTTCTGTGCGGAACGCTTATGGCCAGATGGCTCCAAGACGTTCTTCCCAACCCCCATCAGCTTAGCAGGCGTCTGCAATTGTTTACCCTGCTGCTGCCGTTGCTGAGATTGAATGTTGGATGAAACTGGTGATTGCTGATGGAGCTGTTGTGTTGTACGTGAAGTATGGCTTTGTGGTTGTGCAGATCCAGGAGTTGAGATGGAGATGCCCGATCTTGCTGTAAATGCCTCCTGGACCTCCGCCGAAGGCATGCGAAGGGGAGCCTGCACAACTCGCCATGTGATAGACGGAAGCTCGCGGTCTCTCTTGGCGGGGGTAATTCCAGTCTTCAAAGCAGGTTCTGAAGTTGCAGATGGACGCTGAAAGCGGTTTGTTGCGGATTCAGATGCTTTGATGATTCCCTCAAAACATTGCTGAGGACCGTTGACTCCAATCCAGCGGTAATGTGACTTGGGAATGGTGGAATGCGGTTGTTCAATGGCAGGAGCCTCTTGCACCTTTTCAATCAGATTAATTGAACTCAGTATGTTCACCACGTCGTATAGCCTCCGGATGAGAGCTGCATATAAACAATGATGACGTTAGTGAGAAGCATGACGGAATGAAAGAAGTGGCATTGTGTTGACTGCTCACATCGATCATCTGGTGAGTCAAGCAACATCTCAGCTGCGTCTTCCCAGGATATTGTTGCATTCTGCGAACGAGAAAACGCAAAAAGTAAGTGCGAATCAATTGTTCAATCTAACTTATAAAATCGGAGCTGGGAATATTCATTGGTTAAAACATACCGTGCCTTGAAGAAAGAGCTGAACAAACTTTTCTCCAAGATTCCTCAAGTTCGACCCTTTTCTTGTATCTGGGTTGTCTGCACTGTCCTTGCCTGAACCATAACACTGTGGGTCTGCCGTTCCTGGTGATGACTTTTCATAGAAAGCGTTATTTCCCTGCAGTGAAGTCACGCCCGCGCTCATACTTCCTTCTCCACCAGCAACGACGTTGCCCTGCAAACGAACCCCTATCAGTTGAGAGCAACGTATGAATCTTGAAAGAAAACAAAAAAACACTTCAGCACACACCTTGATTCTGCCAAGAGCTTCACCAATGCCATCTGATCCGAGCCACAGATACTCATTCTTCCCTTGTTTCTTTACTATGCTGATACACTCCAGGACGTTGAAAATGTCGTACAGTTTTCTTCGTCGTATCCCTGCAGTCACAGCCATCGTAACAATGTAAAGGCTCATATATATACATATATGGATTGATTCCATAGACGCACTCGCTTACCCAGGAGATTCTCCAATTCCTCGAGGTTCAGCTTGCCTCCCTCTTTCATCAGACAGGCTCCCACGACTCTGAGGAGGACAACGAAGTAAAAGTAAGTGGTAGAGCCAAAATTATGGCGCTATATGCTTGAAATGGAACGAGGGAACCGAAGGCTTGACATACGAAAGGGCCAATGCACCCAACGAGTGCTCCTTCGTGATGTAATCTTCTTGGTTGTCGAACTCAGCACAACGTTTCTCCTGGCAAGAAAAAATAACGTTGAGTAAGAAAACTGATCAGTAAGTCAGCAAATCCCACGTTCTCCTATCTGCATTACCACGTCTATAGGGTGGGGAGATATGTGTGAATGAGCTGCATCATTGCGTGAACCCGTTGCTGAGCTATCCTCCCCCAAACCTGCCTCTGGCCTGTGTGGCTGCGGAGTGCCTGTAATGGCTGCAGTCGGAAAAGGGACCGGGCTGAAAGGTGGAAGGTAGGCTCTTCCTTGACGATGATGAAAGTCTGAATGGTTAATGCCTGAACCTGGTGTCAACGGCAAGGCCGTTTGTGCACCAAGAAGTGGAGAACAGATGGGAACCTGCAGCATGTAAAACAAGACATTGTTAGCTTTTCCTTGTGGACTGATAACGCAAGCAACCATCAGGCGCGCCTACCTCGGATGTGAGAGGCCTCGTGTCAGGGACGTTAGGGTGGAATCTCGGGGTTTTTGGTAGGAGAGCTGCAGACGAGCGAGGCGCACACAAAGGTAGAGTCGTCAGGACATTTAGCGGCGCATTGCGTCTTGCAAGCAGGGTGATGACACCTGATTAGTACCTTTGAAAGGTGGGCGATCTCGTCCTGATGCTCTGACGTCAAATGCGCTCAGGCCTGAACAACGAGAAAGGGACGATTAGATCTTGCACGAACTGACCAATGTGAGCGAGAAGTAAGGCAGAGACATACCCTGCAAGAAGCAGTTGACTTGCAAGTTCGCTGCTCCTTGCGGCGCATCGTTGTTGGCGACGACCTTGATGGAACTGGAAATAGAGCTCCCAAGAAATTGCTGAGACTCTGAGTAAAACGCAAACAGAAGCCTAAATTTCGAAGTGTTACAGCAGGGTCGTATGTGCGTGCTAGCCTCGTCAATGGCAATATACAAATGCCGGGGTTCCTTCCACACATCAGGATCATCAGGAGAAGCGACTACGCTACGCCGTGATAATCGTCCGAACCTCTGCAACCCTTTCAGAATGGGACCGATGCAACCCTTTGTGCACTGACTCCGTACAACAGGTACCCAGTGGTACTCAGCCTGAGTTTTGAATGTCGCTCCATGATGGTTTGCGAAGACCAGGAACACGTAAAGTCGCATTCTTCTGTCATCCTGAAATCGCAGATTGTACTTCAGGGTACCCTCGTGCAGAAAGGTATCCACCTCGCTTCCAATCGGAACCTCGATAGCCTCGGTCAGGGAAAGCTCGGCCTTCGAAGAGCGAGAATCCTCATTGAGAAATACCAGCTCTACCTGGTTGTACGAGCATTTCTGCTTGCCAAGCTTATAAGCCCTGCGAGCACACAGAGCTGGTATCAGTGTCTATTTCGAGAGTCAGGGAAAACAAAAAGGCAATACGTGAGCCTACTTTCGTCAGCACCTTATTTCTGGCTGTTCATTGATGGCAAAGGCTGTTGATGTCGACACCGGACACAACAAATCCATCGTAATCCTGCTGAGCCATGCTACTCTAGCATCGGACGGTGTAGGTTTCGAGCTAGAGTTAGTCCTGTCGTAGAAACTTGGTCAGTCGGCAACAGCTTCTCTATCCCCTAAGATTAATCTCCTGATCAGCCGGTCAGTCTAGGTGGATAAGCATGGAGGCCGAGTAATCACCAGACACAAGCAGTCCAGGTTGCTCGACCAGCATAATTCTTGACCATTGTTGTGTATCACCGATATGGTGAGGGTGTAGACGCGTTATTGATGGCATGAGTTTCCTAGGGATTGCATGTGGTTACGCAAAATGGGGGACGAAAACGGGCGGGAGAGGAGGTAGCGTCCAGATTTGTAAATTATCTCCCGCCTTGACAAGATGCCTGGAATAACAGAAGTGGTGTCATTCAGCGGATGGTACCATGGGGGGAAGGGGAGCTCTCCAGGACAATCGAGAAGCTGGGCTTGGGGAAGAAGATGTGTTCTTGATGGGGAAAAGGGGTAAAGGGGCTTGAAGGACGCAGTGGCCGGCAGAGGGAGAAAGCGGAGCAAACTTCAAATGTGACGGTCTGGTCTGGATAATTGACACTGTTTTCACCAACACTAGGGGTAAACCGTCAGATATCCCCATCTGGTCCTTGTGCTACTGTAGTTGTTTGTGTTGTGAGGCTGACAGGGAGATCTTCTTGGAACTTGGCTGGCTGATCACAGCCACTGTATCGAGTCGCGATCCGGGAATACCGCAAGAAGTTTTTGAATTCGAATGCCACGCCTAATTCTTTTGGCGCGAGAGAGTGTGGGGCAAACAAAGCGGACCAATCAGTTCCGGTCGTACGACGAGTAGGAAAAGCCTAGCTGCACCGCCATTCTCCAATGACGGTACGGACTCTGATCGCACGGTGTCGCAAGCCCTAGAATCCTGGAAGGCGAATGCACGAACAGATTGGGTCGGTGACACTATGGAAAATGTCTCCATTAACACTGTACAACCACGGTAACAGTAGAAACATTTAGTCCTCCATTGAATCAAATAAAAGGCACAAAGATTACACCTTAGCTTAATGTTCCTGGTGCAATCCAATCATCTGGAATAAGAGACGATTTTCCATTTCTCCGCATTCCCTCCACCTTCAAAACGGGAAAAAAAACAAAAATCAGACACAGTGGATACCATCAGTTGAATGGACGAGAACAAGACACTGCAACAGTTCCTGCAAAACCAGAAACAACTCACCTGATCCATGACCATGGAGTTAAATACTTCTAACAGTTGATCCAGCTTCACACAATTATCTGGTTCAAGAATCTGTAAAGCATACACCACAGCTTCGATTGTGGACAGGCAACCAAACTGCGGAGGAATTGGAGGGATGATAGGGAAAACACAAAAAGATGGCACAGAATGTTGAGAAACCCGGCGAGAAATATAGGGGAAAGTAATAATAATAAAATGTCCAACCTTGGGTTGCTTTCGGATGAAACCATATCTTGACGGCGCAGCAGCATGCGGTGGCAAGTGGTAGTGCGGCAGCTGCAGCAGCCAGGGATTCTGACACAGGATCCTCTTCGCCTTTGGCCACGTGCCATCCAGCACAATCAGGTGAGACGGTCTCAGCGCTTCCGATGGCTGGCTACCAACGGACGATGCAGATCCCTCGGGACCACTAGACGGTTGTGGAGGTTGCAGCTCTAAGGATCGAGGGGAGGGGTACAGTACCGCAGCTCCGGGCGGCAAACTGATCCAATCTGGAATCTCCACTGGCTCGGCGCTTACAGCCTGTGTGCTTGTAGAGTTACTGCCATTGCTACTGGTGGCAGTGCTTGTTGAAAGAGCTCGGTATTCAAGATGCATGCGACTCATTTGGTTGCTGGGACAATTGCAGCTGCTGCTGTTGTGGCTGCTGTCGTGGCTGCTGCTGTGGCTGCTGCAGTGGGTGCTGGATGATGTGTTGTGATTGCTTTGCAGGAGGGACATCGTCACGCCACGGTTGTCAACTGCAAACTCCTCAGGAACAACACGCCAGCTGCTGCCGCTGCTCCTCCTACTCTTGCTCCTTGTACTCTTGCTCTTCACACTGCTGCTCCTCCCACCTTTGCTGCAGCTGCAGCTGCTGTCATCACAGCAACGGTCACCACAAGCAGTGTTAACAAGCCCCCTTGTTCCAGTCTCAGGAGTGTCCTGAGAACACATACCACCCCCATCCTCTTCACTGCTCCCATCAGCATAATGATCACTACCAAAGGTACCGGCGCCATTGTCACTATCAGCCCCATCAGCAGCAGCAAACGGCAGGAGGTCAAAGCTTAGATTGAAGCTTGAATCATCTGCTGACGCCCCATCTCCTGTTTCTCCTCCCTGCTCCTCACCCATAACTGGGCCACTCGCTCCTACATCCCTGCTCTCTTCTCGTACTACTCCGTTCTCCACACATCCCTCTCCCACTTCGCCATCTCCCACTTCAGCCCCTCTCACCTCACCCCTTTCACCATCCGCAGTGGCAACCATAAGCCCTCCACCTGTGCCCATGCTTGCTTCCCCATCCCTTGCATTGCTCTTCTCACTCGAATCTCCCTTCCCCTGCGCTTGGTCCACCCACCGCCCCTGCTTTGGCTCCTCCACCTCCTGCAGCATTCGCCCCTCCAGATACCCCTGCTCTTCCCCTAGCCACTGCCATTGCCCCTGGCCATGACCTTCCCCCTCCCGTTGATCCACCCCTTGCCCATGCCCTTGCCCATTCCATTGTCCCTGCATTTTCTCCTCCCCCGGCCCTCCCCCCTGCCCTCCCCCCTGATTCCGCCCTTGCCTCAGCGTTTTCCCCGCGCCCTTGCGCCACCGCCCCCTCCCCGAACGCCCCAAGAGCGAGCGGCGGGAGCAGGGGTCCTTGGGCTGCAACCCCGGCCGCCCGCGCCCCAGCGGCACCACCACCACGCCCACGCGCTGCAGCCCCAGCAGCGCAATGCGCGCCGAGCCCAGCGGGTGGTACTTCTCCTTGGGATGCTGCACGAGGGGTTTTGGGGGGGGGGGGGGGGGGGGAAGGTGCGGGGTGGAAGGGGGGTTTGAGTCGACTCCAAACTCACCAAGTCGCATTTTGAGTCGACTCAACAGTAACCGCGCTGCAGCCCCAGCATTTTCGGGAGCTAACGAGAAACGGGTTCAGCAAGGGTTTTAGGGATCAGCGGAAGCGCAGACGTGAACGTAACGTTAACGCGGTAACGTAAGGCGCACCTGCAGGATGGTGACGCCCACGCGGTTGTCCACGGGCTCGCCGAAGCGGTCACAGATGCACACGCTCGTCGCCTTGTGACACTCCACGCAGAACGCCCGCCTCCCCTGCTGCTGTTGCTGCTGCTGCTGCTGCTGCTGCAGCTTGCGCTGTCGGTTTTGCTGTTCGTTCTGTTGCGTCTGCTGATGCGGCTGCTGCCGTTGCAGCTCCTCCTGCTGCTGCTCACTCGGTTCCTCCTCTAGTTCGCCGCATGAATTCGTTGCCTCTGTCGCTAATTCGCGAATTCGAAACTCCTCGTGGCGGTGATCTGCTAACGCGTCACCTGGTAACGGCAGGTGATCAGCTATTTCACCAACTAAGATCGTATCTGATTTACAATTACGACCATTAACGACCGACGAAACACCCCCACCGTCCATTCCTGACCGACCGTTCGTCGCATCTGAGTCGTGAGATTCGTTTTCGTCACCTGCGACGGGATTCGCGACAGCGTTAACAGCGGCAGAATCGGAGTCGTTGCACCGGAGATGCGAAACCATAATCGCCTCGCGATATCGCAATAGCGAGACAAGCTACTAAAGGGGTTTCTGATGGGTGTTATGTCAGGGACAAAGGATTCGTTATGGAAGTGAGAATCTGCGGATTGGTTATTATGCAGGAAACTAAGGTGGATTTGACAGAAAACCGGAATGCGGGTTCATACTTCAGAGACTCCTATGGCTAGAGTGTTGGATCCCCCATCAGAGCAAATAAGGGCTTATAACGCGGATGGGCAAGAAACGAATTAGAGTTTTCAACATATATATAAATTACTCATCAGCTGTTAACAAGGCATCAACAAACAAACAAACAAACGAGCAAAGGGTAGTTGTTGCTTACCAAGAGGGTTGCTGAATGCGAGTTTACACCATCCTGCTCACGAATTGCAGAAGTAGATGCAAGGCAGACAACAGGTAAGATTAAGTCTGGAATACAGTAAATAACTTCATAAATCAGCATAATGTCAACACGTGTGGGAGCCTGCCATGTCAGCCAATTGTCCACAGACTGCCAGCTGTCATAAGTGATCTCATGAGGCCACGTGGCAGGCATGAGAATGCTGCTGACAGGCTGGACGATACCCAAGGCGTCTGGCTTGTTGTTGGGAAAATCATGCATGTCAATGGGGGGGGGGGGGGGGGGAGCAAAAAGGAATCAAGCAACGTTTTTTTGTCTTCTTTTCATAATTTAGTGACAAAGGACAGGCATAGGGATGAACAGAACAAAAGGACGGATGGGTGAGCACTAGGGTGGAAAACAAGGGAATAAAACATCACATTGCAGCATTGTTCGATATTAGCGTGTAACGGGCCACTCACTTGTTACAAAAGCCTCCATCCACAAGGCACGCTTGTTCCACCGCGGGGTCTTGATGCGCAGAGGAATGCCCCTCTCCACGCACGTGCTGCAAAAACAGCAAGGGAGGGTGCAACACAGATGAGACTACTAAGTGCCTCAAGTGATTATGCACGGCATGTATTCTGCAAAAACAAACAAAGAAACGAAGTGGCTCATTTGACATACTCAACATATACTTGAAATGAGGGCTGAATGAAAATTGACATACTCAATTATGGCTCGGCGGATGCTTCCTGGAAGGATCCCACTCTCAAGTGATGATGTTTGCAGCTCGAATCCATGCCAGGGCGAACCACGGCTTGGGTTACTGTCACTGGTAAGGGCCACGATCATAAACAGGGACACAATGGGGATTGGCAGAACGTTAGAGGTAATAATTCAAACCCATCATCTGCTGCTGACTTTCAAGCTACGCCTGCTGACTTTCAGATGTCTATTATCTTCCCTTTCTTCTCCCGTTATTCCTCCTTTTCCGAGGGTGCGCTGTTGCCGTACCTGGCAGGCTCGGTCCGAGCCACGACAAAGAGGTTTGAGGTAATGCCTTCGAGGAGAGCGTCACCATCATTCGATAGAATCACGTCCTTTGCCTCTGCTGGCCTAGCCGCCTCCAGGACTCGGCGGACGCTGCAGGCTTGCACACAGGGGGGGAGATAAAAAAGGTTTTCTGGACTTGTCACTGACCTTATACTTTTGACTCCAGGCCACAGACAGTTGGATGGTTCGAACAGGGAATGGAACATGACACAGCAGCCAAGGAGATTGCGAGGTAGGAAAGGAAGGAGGGAGACGAGTGAAGGAAGGCACACTCACAGGGGCCATGAGGAGAATTTTGCGAGTGGAGTGTCTCGGCCAGGCCCCATGACAGCAGCACAGACGGGTGGCGGCAGGGAGAGGGATGGCAAGGGGCTCGTGGTGCGAACCGTGCTGGCATGCACATACACCTCAACGCCTCGTGCATGCGCTGCAGTTGCTTCTGTTTCTGCAGTTTCTCTGATTACTGGAGCTGTAGCAGCTGTGGCGGCTTCAGCAACGAACACTTTTTTACCACAGAGAAGAATCATAAGACAGATCTCCACCTGCTGCTGCTGCTGCTGCTGCTGCTGCTGTGGCTGTTCCTGCTGTTCCCCATTCTGCTCTCCCTGGACGTTCCTCCTCCACCAATCACACTCCACCATTTCTTGCACAGCTGCAAACACGGACGCTTTAATATCTTTGCGCAAATCAGCAACCAGATCTCTGATTTGTTCCGGCTTTTTCTGATCCTCCTCTTGAGAGACCTCTTCTTCCTGCGCCTCGTGACGGATTGACAGCAGGTTCGGTGACAGGTTCGGGAACAGCTCCGGGTGAGCTTCGGCGAGCAGCAACAGCGACTGAGTGACTCTATCGACGTGGAAGTCCCACAGGAGAAGGTGGGAACCGCCGCCGAACGTGCGAGTGGTGGTGTATGCGCCTTGGGGGGAGGGAGGGTTAGGGGAAAGGAGGGAGGGAGGGAGGGAGGGAGGGAGGGAGGGAGGGAGGGAGGGAGGGAGGGATTGAGGGAGGGAGGGAGGGAGGGAGGGATAGAGAAGGAGGGGAGGAGGAGGGAGGGAGGGATGGGGGGGGGGGAGGAAGGGAGGGAGGGAGATGGCAGCATTGGGAACGAAAGAACCACTGCTGAACGTGCGGTGTAGGCGCCTGGGAAGGAAGGAGGGCACAGTCAGAGATATCAGGGAAAACGGAAGGTGGTGGAAGAACACGCAGAGGACGGACTGAGCCGCGGAATGAGCCACGAGACTGGAAATGCGCAAGGCGGTGATGATACCTTTGGGCATGGTTTCTAGAAACGCTCGAGGCCCCGAGGGACACGGCGTACATCCATCCGCGATGTTAATTGTCCCCGTGGCGCGATCAATTAAGAGTCGGCCATTATGCACCACCGCGAACGGCGGAGGCTCAACGGGAGCCTCTCCGGAAGTTGAAGACGCGACTACCGCTGGCCTCATTGCTGCTACCCCTCCGAATTCCACCCTCCCTCGTCCAGCTGCCGCTCTCCCTGCTTCCGCCATCCCTGCACTTGCAAATTTCGATGCGAAAAGTACACGGCCAATTGTAGCTTGAGCGGGAGTTTTGTTCTGCGCAGTTGCGCATCCGAGTCGATCACTCGATAAAGCTAATCTCGCTGCGAATGACGCGGCGCGCGACGCGCCGCCAGTTGCACGAGACACTAATGAGAACTGGTGAGGAAATGGAGACGTCAGCGACATCGTCATGCTGTCAAGCGATAAATCATAATTGTAAGGAATTCGAATCAGGCGACATGAACAGCGTCAGGACAGGAATGAGGGGGAAATCAGGAGCAGAAATGTCCAACGAGTGCAGCGCAAAATAAAGAGAAAACAATTTCCTATGATGTCGCCTACAACACTCCAAATCGCTTCAAAGTTTACAACCATATAGCATCTCGGCACAAACGGATCGCAATTGGGCTTGATGCTCAGGGACCTCTCACCGTTCGATCCAGTTGATCGTGAGGTACTGGATACATTAACAAAATTCCCGCCGTCGCTGGCAAGGCTGTCAGGAGCCACCATTCAATTGGGCGGCTCCCGCGCAAAGACGCAAGAACCCGCTTCATCTGAAACTCGGTTGTTCCCGTAACCCCGCTCACGAAGGTAAGCGTCCTTTTCGCCAGGTGGTAACCTTCCGATGACGAACGAATATGCTTTTGCCAACATCTATCTTTGCGAAACTGACAAGCAAGGAGTTCCGCCTGGCTTGGCAATCATGGAACGGCGGAAGCCAGTTGTCGCTCTGCTCTCCTGAACGTCAGAAACTTATTTCAGGCTCGTTTCCATGGCGGCCTCGCGTTCCTCGAGTTTCGTCGGGTGCCATCCCATAGGCCGTATCAGGCGCCTTAATCCTTAATCTCTCTGTATAGTTCTTGAATTGCAGAAGCACCAACCTGAGTCGTATCTTTAGTATCGATTATATATCTGAAGCAGCTTTAGACTATACAATTGGTGGCACTCTGCCTGATCACTAAAATGATATCTACTCTAGTCGCTCGAAGGCAAATCTCTGCTGTTTTAGACGTTGAGAAGAGTCGACCCTGATGGTGAAAGGAGTAGGACGTCCGCGACAGGTGTTACCTAGGAGAAGCGACTCTATAAGTTTCCACCTTCTCAACGATCCAGCCTGAACGTCTGGGAGTGAAAACGGACCGGAGCAGTAGGAACGTGGTGGTGACTGGCTCTACCGGTAACCCTTCGGAAAAGGAGGAAAGCGAACCATTTTTTTTTTACGAGCAGTTTTTCCACGACGCATGGTCCTGTCATGCTCGCCTTCGCGATATCGATCTCGTCTTGCTCAAGCCGAGAAATGTCGCATTTTGCTGAATCACGTCCTGCTTACGGGAGACGTCGCGTCTTGGTTGGGAGTGCGGAACGGTACGGAGCAGTAAAGGGGTGTGTGGGTGATTATTTCGGAGCTTCGCCGAGTGACTAAAGATGTCGCATCTTCGTGAATCGCAATGTCGCATCTTGGTGAGTCGCAACATCGAATCATGGTGAATCGGGACGTCGCATCATGGTGAATCGCGACGTCGCTTCTTGGTGAATCGCAACATTGCATCATGGTGAATCGCAACGTCGCATCTTGGTGAATCGCGAGGTCGCATCTTGGTGGATCGCGACGTCGCATCATGGTGAATCGCAACGTCGCATCTTGGTGAATCGCAACGTCGCATCTTGGTGACCGACGACTCGTCGGACGAGCAGCGAACGACGAGTGACGGATGGCGAGCGACGGAGGAAGTGCAACGCACGACGCGAGACGGACGACGAGTGACCGACAGCGAGCAGCGAACGACGAGAGACGGACGACGAGCAGCGAACATCTAGTGACGGATGGTGAGCGACGGAAAACGAACAACGCACGACGCGAGACGGATGACGAGTGACGGGCGACGAGAGATGGGCGACGAGCAGCGGACGACGGGAGACGGATGGCGAGCGACGGAAGACGAGCAACACACCACGCGAGACGGATGACGAGAGATGGACGACGAGTGACCGACGGCGAGCAGAGAACGACGAGAGACGGACGACGAGCAGCGAAAATCGCGTGACGGATGGCGAGCGACGGAAGACGAGACACACGACGAGAGGCGGACGACGAGAGACGGACGACGAGAGATGGACGACGAGCAACGAACGACGAGAGAAGGATGGCGAGTGACGGACGTCCGCGATAGCAACCGGGACAGGCGACCAGTGAACGACGACGCACGGCGAACGAGCGACCAACGAGCAACGACGCACGGCGAACGGAGGGCAACGAATGGCGAGCGACGGACGAAAGAGTCGGAGGAGAAGCTGCTCAAAACTTTCACTCTCGTTTGTCTTGTCTCGCTTTTGTTAGCGCGCAATACAATTTCTCGGAAGGTGTACGAGTGTGGGTGGGAGTGTGAGGGCGTGTGGCGGTGGTGGACCGTGGCACAAGGCAGCTGAGCGCATGTAGATAGAGTTGTAGGTGGTTAGAATGCATTCATCCTCATGCCCGCGTTCCCCTCTACCCCAGTCCCCCCTTGCAAGCTCGCTCGCTGCCAAACTGCCACGGCCTGCCATCGCCACACTCCCTTCGCCTCCCACACTCCTCCCAACCCCTCCCGTGCCTTTCTGCCATCTGCTTCAAGTTTGAAAATGCTCATTCGATTCCACGTCATGCTTGCTGCCTCATCATTCTAACTTCATTGCCTGCGCAACGCCAGTCTCATTGCATCTCCTTCTCGCCGTGCCGTGTTCCCCATCCATCTTCTGGCCTGGCCTCAGGTCGAATGGAGTGCAGGCGGAATTGCAACGAGCTGGGTGCGACGAGGTGCAGAATGGTGACGCGACGGTGTGCGAAACGGCGACGAGTTGCGTGCGACATTGTGCAGAATGGCGAGTTGCTGCGTGCGACGTTGTGCGGAATGGTGATGCTGCTGCTTGCTGCTCCTCCCTCGGACAAGTAACTTTCAGCCTCTACGCTTCTCCTTAGCTAAGTTTCCTTCCCCCCCCCCCCCCCCCCGTCCTCCATCGCTTCCCATCCGTCTCTTTCACTTTTGGCAAATCTCAAGGCACATTCGTCTCTTGGCGCATGGTGGTGGTGGGCCATGGTGCTATGGCAGCAGAGCTCATGTAGAGTGCAGTGTGGTGGGAGTGGTGGGAGAGATCAGTGGGAGAGGGAGTGCATCCATGCCATGCGCGTGTCCCTCTCTACCCCAGTCCCCCCTCGCTGGCTTAGCTCGCTGCTGTAGTGCCGTGGGCCACTGTTGCCATGCGCCTTCCCCCTCCCCCCTCCCACCACGATCCAACCACTCCATTTTTGCTGTGCTCCATTTTCAAGTTTCTCACAGCTTCTGCTCTATTGCCACCTTGACGTTCTTGCTGCTCCCATTCATTTCAAGTTTCGAGGCCGATCCTTTTCCTATGCATCTCCTTCTCCCTGTGCCTTTGTCCCCCTCTGGCCTCAAGGCGAACGAATTGCACGTGGCAGAGCCGCAGAGCGGTGGCTGCAGTCAGCATCAGTCAACATCAGTCAACACCAGTCAACAGCAGTCAACGCCAGTCAACGCCAGTCAACACCAGTCCTTAGCAACCACGCCCATTCTGTCGCTGCCGTTATGGTACGATGTGCATCCCTCTAACTGCACCCACTCCCTGCTACGCTCCTCCATTCCACTGCACCCACTCTCTCCTTTGCTCTCCGATTTCAGTGCACCTGCTCTCATCGCACCGCAACGCACCGCACGGCACCGCAGCGCAGCGCACGGCTTCGCTTCGGGCATAGCTTTCTCTGCTGTTGTTATTCTGCTACCTTTGTGCTTCATGTAGTGACCTGCAGTCTCCTCCCTTACTCCTTCTAAACCCCCCTCTTGCGCTTTTCCCCTTGCTGCACCCTGCTTCTCTGCAGGCGAACTGAAGCAGCGACGGCAGCAGAAGCAACAAAGGGCAGTGCAAGGGAGAGCATTTGAAGTCTGAGCTGCAGCTGGTGAGTTCCATCCGTTCCCCCACACACAGCCTCGCACAAATACGCACCTCCTCGCACCACAGCGCGCCGCAGGGCTTCGCAGCTCACCGCAGCGCACCGCGCCGCTCATTGCAGGGTATTGCAGCGCACCGCAGGACACCGCAGCGCACCACAGTGAACCACTGCACCGCACGTTCCTGGAGCTGTAGGTTATGGAGGTGCTAGCCTTGGAGGTGCTGGTGCTGGTGTTCCTGGTGTTAGAGGCACAGGTGCTGCTGGAGGTGCTGGAGGTGCAGGTTCTAGAGGTGCTAGCCCTGTAGGTGCTAGTGCTGGTGTTTTTGGTACTGGAGGCACAGATGCTGCTGGAGGTGCTAGAGATGCAGGTACTGCTGGAGGTGCTGGAGGTGCTACTGGAGGTACTACTGGAGGTACTGCTGAAGGTACTGGAGTTAGTGGTGCTCGTCGGCAGGAGTCGCTCTAGCCGCAGCAGCTTCGCGAGTGGGCTGTTCGGTGGGGCAGTCCCGGTGGTGGAGCTGGAGGCACTCGTTTTGGTGGTGCTGTTGCTACTAGAGCTGGAGGTTCTGGGGGTGCGACTACTCAGCCGCAGCCGTCTACGCTTCGTCGCCTTCTCAGTCTCCCGCCTGCTGCTATTGAGTTCCCGTATCCTGGTACTACTCGCCCGTTACTGTTCCCACCGACTGGCCAGTCTCAGCCACAGCTACTGCCTGGCTCCCCGCTGCCTGCTCCTGCTCCTCACACTGAGGTGACTGCGTCCCTGACTCCTGAAACTCATGCTTCCACTCCTGAGCGTCGAGAGCCTGTG